TCATGAGTGTTGTTTCTCCGCAGTGCACCGGTGCTCATAAAGAAGCACACTCAACGGAGCTCAAGCGGGCACACATTAGCAGAAAACAGCACTCACATTATGTGCTTCAAGACTAACAATGATGACCAAGACGACATCGAGGATGAGGACCAGCTCACTGGCATCATGATTTCTGGCCTTGAAGCACATAATGTGAACGCCGAGCAGGCGGAATATGCTAGTTTCGACGATGATGTGTGTGTTTGTCGTGATGACTCATTAGAGGACATAGTACAGGAAGTAATGCCAGCAGAGTGCAGCAGTGAGAGTGAAGATGACGATGAAGAAAGGGATGACCCACTACCAACTGTCACAGCCATAGCTTTGAGCACATCGCTCAGCTCCGGAACTTTCTGTTTGCAAAGGAAGAGTCCCGTAAAGAGCTACTTGCATTGGCTGGTATTGAAAATTTTATTTTGAGATCGTATGTGCTGACTAAACAGTCCACAATCGACAAATTTTTTGCCGGATGAATAAACTTAATGTCACAGTTCTTTCACTAATGTGTTATGCCTGTACTTATAATTAGGCCTATGTAGAGGAAACTGGCAAAAATCTGCTTTGTCTGAGTAGCTATCCATGTAACAAATCATAATGCCATCTAGTATCATATTTAGATGAATTTCTGATAATTCAAACTAAAATCTGTGACTTCCTGGAGTTTGAATTAATGAGACTCTACTGTAGTTTGCTGTACGGCATTTCGCATTCAGCGAGTCATTTTGTCACTGTACACAGACGAAAGCATAAAAGCGTTCGGACAAGTTACGCATTCACGGCTGCACGATGCTGGCAACTGTAGGGTGAGTCGTTAGACTTTGCCTTTGGTGAAAGAGTCCTGTTTGTAACACTGTGCCGCTGGAGCAAATCCACAGATTGATTGCTACTTCCTTGGCGATACAACCGCTGCCTTCTCACGTCGACACATGGGAAATGCCGCAAACAAAAGCAGACACCGTCACGACTTCGCAAGGTGAAACCGGAGAGGTCAAGAGCGGAAGAATTGCTTGAGTGTTGACGTGCTATGTGGCATCAACAGCAGAGGCCTGCCATTAAAAAAAAAAAGAAGAATACTAGTTTGTAGTTTCTTTGCTGGACGTGACGTCACGACAACTGACGGCAGCGATTGACTGGCAGAGTGATGTAGATTCTTTTGGGGACAATTTGCTAATGAATTCATAACCTGACATCAAATGTAGTTTCTAAACATGGCAGATATAATCAGGCCAGTTTCCGTCCACAATGCTGCCGCCTAGTCTGTCGCACAGATTATTTCCGTTGCTAAGGGGCAATTGGGGCTTTATGTAAACATAAGCTGGACGTGCGTGTAGGAAAAATAACATGTATGACCGACCACATCATTTACTCTTCCAACATATTGCAAAAAAACAAAATAAGAAAACCGACAAGTCAACATTTTTTTTTTTTTTGTTTTTTCCTCATTTTTAGTGGCTGTCGTGTAACATCGAAGTACCGTATTTATTCGAATATAAGGCGGTCACGATTATAAGGCGAGGGGCCAGTTGAAGGACCCAATAAAAAGAAAAAAAAATTGCCATATTGCTATACTGAGCTTCGAATATAAGGCGGGGTATGACTTTAAAACTACGGATTTTGGAAAAAAACCTAGCCTTATATTCGAATAAATACGGTATAAGTACCGAGTAAAATAAAACTAAAGAAAAAGTACATGATGTAAGGTGTACATGAACTCTATAGATATAATACCAGTCCCAATGGTTTAGCAAAGAAGCCAGTCTTCTCAGAAAACCCCCTCTCTCACTTGAGTCCGTTTTCTAATACTTGAATCTTAAAAAGAAGTTGCCCCGAAAAAGCGGCAGAAAATGCACAAAACAAAGTGACAGTGCCTAAAAAGGTCACACCTGCCTTTTCACATGGCTCTCAGAACTACATGCAGTGCAGGACGCAGAACGGTACCCATGGGCTAGCTGCAGTTGTAACCCAGTGCTTCTAGTATATCGCAGCTGCTTGGAAGGGAGAGAGGCCACCTCCCTCATGCCGTGGTACCGGGAAAAGCAATATTAAAGAGCCGCAGGCGTCGAGCACCTTGTATTTCTGTGCATCCACAATGCTATTCTGGGACAGCAAGGACAGAAAACTTCAGTAACACAGTGAACAAAAAAGAGACCAAAAGAGTAGGCATGCAGGCGAGCGTGAATTGTAGACACAGCTAAAACTCAAAGCACAAGGAAGCAGAAAAGGGCACATGAAGAGGCCTTTCGACTTCCTTGCATGTCGGGTTTGAGTCTCGTACCGGGTAGTAAGAAGCAACAATACTGGTTCCCTAGCCTTTCCTGTCTCAAGAAGCCTTGGAACAAAGATATCCTACTCGTCATTCATCTCGTTTTCTCTTCTCGGGCAGATTAAAGTGCACGCTGCAGCAGCAAACTGCCTCGAAGGGGCTCGACTCGCACTCCTAAGAGAATGATTGGCAAGCAATTTCTCCATTGTGTACTATGTGCATTCTATGTTTTAAAGGGGAACTCCGGCATTTTCTTCATTGTCCCCGATTTGCCTAAAAACTTGCTAAACACATCAACAAACATCGCTGAAATAGTAACCGAAATATCTTGCCGAAATAGCTTTTTTTCGCAAAGTCACAGAATTTACAATTTTGGTCATCATTGTGTTTTTCAAAGTGAAAAGCTCTACTGGCAACATTGAAATTGAGACGTCATGGGGAGGCAAAGGTTCACTCTTAGGGCTGTAGACTTTGTTCACAACTGATCACAAACAGTTTCATGGTGTGAAAAGAACGCTTTGGAAGGTCGCCCCAAATCCCACCCAGCAGCACGAAACAAATGCTCGGCATAGTTCATTTCTACACAGCCGCTCGAACCGTGAGCCCGTCATCCTGTGACACAAGCACGTAACTAGAGGGGGTTCATGGAGCCCGGCCCGGCCCGCCCCGCCGCTGCCGCCCCCCGCCCCCAAAAACAAAATCCTGGCTATGTGCCTGCGTGACGTCACAGCAATGAAAAGCACAAGTATATTTCAATCTTGGATTGGCATCATACACGACAGTGGTAGGAACATTACTTGTGTCGAGCTAGAGAAGCCATATTGGGGGCTACCCCAGCTACGTCCACACTGGCTTTCATGGCAGTTATGTGCAATGCAGACAGCTTTCACTATTTCAACCGAGTGCCTAGGCAAACACAGAAGCAGCCATATAAGACAATCAGGAAAAGATGCCGAGTTGTACAGGCTAAGGAGGAAGGACATAGTGCAGCGAGCTACCTAGTCCAGGCTATTCCTCTGAGAAATGCAGTCGGTGGAAATGTAGGTCAGTCATTCCCGCCATTAATTTAGGTAACTAATGCCAGCATTACACTATTTTGCATATTTCTCTACTGCAACGCTAGTCATCCGCAGCAGAAACAACGCCCCAAACTAAAAAGAAGTCTCGTTGCATTGTTAACACAGAAATCAAGTCCATTAGGAAAGGCCAGCTGTGCCATCCACCTGTTCATAAGCGAGCTGAAGTTCATCAAAGCACAACCGAGAACCTCTCGGAAGTACTTGGTTCCTTTTCAGTAGTTATTGAATGAAAACACAGTGCAGTGGTGATTACCATCAGCACAGCCTTGCCACTGGCACTGCTGTCCCTCGGGTGGCACAGGCACGACATGGCCTGCAAGCCATATATATCCCTAAAAGAAAGCTGCATAGGATGCACTTACCGTGGCTAGCGTCGCCACCCAGCGAGCTTGCACAAACCCTCTGCATGGCACGCAGTGCTGTTCAGAACAGAGCGGCACTGGCTAGCCAGTTAATGCGAAGGCTTGTAGTGTCCTGCTGCTGCCTTGGCAAAGCTGCAAGTCACCTCTTTCACGCCTTGTGGTGCCCATCAGCTTCAAAAGAAACGGTGTTGAATCGCGACCAGCTATAACCTGTCGCACAAGGGAGAAAAGGGTGTGAATGTGCAGACTCCTATCTGTTTGCTTTTGTCTAGCGTGTGAGTTTTGTTTGAGAAGAAAACAACAATGACACTTCTTTCACAGTAATATGCAAAACAAAAACGAGAACGGCTCGGTTATTAATAAGTTGTGTGCAGCAGAGGCACGGGTGCGAGGGCGTAGCTCCGCAGAATGTTCTTTTTGCACGGCTGCTCGTGCAAAAAGGGCGCTTTTGTGCTCGGGCCTGTGCCTTTTCTGCACACAACCTATGTTACAGAGTGTATAGCACGCCTTCGAGCACTCGCGTGCGGCGAGAAATCCATCATATACAAGGTACGATCGCAGGAAACCTCGCAGGGGTGCAGGAAGCTGCAAGTGCACGGTGCACCAGAATGTAACACTAGAGGTGGTGATAGAATTTCACAGTTTGAGAATATGACGTTACTTGGGTCAAAATATAGAAACGAAAAACGTAACTGCCTTACCGGCTGATGATAAGGGCCATCGGAGCACGACCAACTATTTGTTGTGATCGGGGCATTCGATTGGACGCGGGTTGGTAAAGACTTGAAAAACACGAAAGAATAAAACATGTAGGGACGAAGACAGGCAGCGCAGTTCTTTGTCGACATGAAATGTAAGATCAAGCACATTATTCTGTCGGATCAAATAGTTTTGTTGAATTAGGTTTAGCTCGCAAGTCAGCCGTTCTTCGGCGGGCTTTCAGCTTTCTGCGATGGTTGTTTTAATCGTGAACGCAGGCTCAAACAATGTAGGCAGCGGCGCCAAATAGATCTGAAACGAAGAAACAGCTCGGACGCGTGGAACGAACACACATAGAGATCACATCACAGGAAAACTCAAACCACTCACCTTTCGTTCGACGACGGTTCGTCAGGAACGATGTTTCCGATGTTTCTCCGGGCGTTGAGGAGACTGAGGAGACCGCGTCTGTTTCCGTGCTCCTATTGGTTGTGACGTCACCAAATTTCATCCAATAAAGTGCGCGCCGAAGTTTTCTCTAGTCGCCGGTGCCGTGTCGCGTGCACGGCGTTTGTTTATACAACCAGTTTCGCCTCGTTGCACGCAACGCGCGTTTCTCGTTTTCGGTTATCATCTGAGTTTTCCTGTCTGTATTCTGCCCTTCGACCGACCGACCCACCGACAAACCCTCCGACCGGCCACGGACTGACTGATAAGATTTGCGGACCGATTTCCGACTTTGCTACCGGGCAGAATGTCCAACGCAAGGAATCGCCGACACAGAAGAGACCGCACGGACGCGCAGTACGCAGCGGCAATGATGAGGCGACAGCGTGTGCTGCGGGACCGCCTGAACCCCTTTGAGGATTTCGACGAGGATGGGCTGCAGCAACGGTTCCGATTTGGAAGAGCGGGCATAATGTTTCTCGCCGACACACTGCGTCCGGACTTGGAGCGCCGTACACGTCGTAGCCGCGCCCTCTCTGCGGAGCAGCAAGTGATCATCGCCTTGCAGTTCTACGCAACTGGGAACTTTCTGATCACTGCAGGCGACTACATCCGCGTGCATGTGTCAAGTGCTTCACGGGCTGTGAGGCAAGTCACCGTAGCGCTGGCTCGTCGAGCACAAGACTTCATACGGTAAGGGTCCTTTTTTTTTTCCTTTTAATTGTAGTTTGCCAGCCGTATTGAAGTAAAGTAAATACACTAAAAATATATCTGAATTGCTGGTGATAGGGATGTTTTGTAGGTTGCCTTTTTATGGCAGTAATATTCTACCTACTGGTAACTAGCCCTCCCTCCTCCCCCCCCCCCCCCCCCCCCCCCTTTTCAATAGAAAAAAAAAATGATTACGGCCGTAAGCGTCCTACTTGCCCGATTGGAAAGGGCCCGGGCACGCCATTTTTCTGAGAAACCTCAGAAAGCGACCCGTTTGCACTTTTGGTAAGGACTTGCACCGAATCACAGTCACTTTATAGGTCTTGGTAACTGAACAAAAATAAAAAGGGATCCTATGAAAACATGCAAACTTCACTATTGAACAGGTGCTACTGAGGCACTTTACTGCTACCACAAACTTGAAGGGCACAGCCAAAGTCCTTAGCATTCCTCATTAAAAAGGTATTCATAAGCATTGTAGCTGTAAGTTTACTATATGTGGTTTAATTGCTGAGGGGATCAACGACGCAGATGGCCTGACGCTGCGGAGGGGGCAGCCTTGCAGCACAAGTTCTACGACATGGCCGGCTTTCCTTTGGTCGTGGGTGCTGTTGACGGTACCCATGTCCGGATCCAGGCACCCCATGTGCACGAGGAGGCGTACGTCAACCGCCATGGATACCATTCCATCAACGTACAGGTGGTCGTTGACGCCTCTTCTCGGATTCGCAACGTGGTTGCAAGGTGGCCTGGAAGCACCCACGACTCTCGGATCTTCACGGAGAGCACCTTGGCAGTCAAGCTGGCCAGTGGAGAGTACGACGGCCTGCTGCTTGGTGACAGCGGCTACTCCTGTCAACCTTGGCTGATGACGCCATTCCTGTCGCCGTCATCAGCAGCCGAGGTCGCATACAATACGGCACACACGACGACAAGAAGCATTGTTGAACGGTAAATCTAGGCCATATATTGTGAAGGGCACAGAGATATTCATGCAAGACATTTCGAGACGACTAGCTGTCTTGACGTAATATGTGCAACACGTGCATGCTCCTTACGTCTGTTGCTATTCTTTATGGCATAAAAATATTCATACAAATTTTTATATTAATCTAACGAAGCATAAGATACCGTGGTTTTATGTAAGCAAGATGAAAGTAGTATCCTGAGATTACGAATCAATACAACTTATAATAGCTGCCTAGGGTTCTGCGGTTTCAGTTTTTATTTTTCTGGAATCGGCATACTTTTTTCAGTTGTTATTGTGAGTATGAAATTTTCAGTTTTTATCGATGAATATTTTTAGTCGAAAGCTTACTGCCTTTTTCCGGTCGATATCTATTGACCAGTTACGTTTTTTTTCAAGCAGGTTTGTCGAGAATGCAGTAGATTAGGTTCATATCTGAGTTATTCGTCAAGCGGCAACACTTGCGGACATGGCAAACGTAACCTTGGTTATACATGTGCTGTGACGACAAATTCTTAATCGCAAAATTTGCAAACGTAATTCTTGGCAAGCTTCTTTGTTCTTCACATGTGGAGGACTATTAAAGCTGCTTTCCTCTAACCAGATAGCACCTTGAGAGAGGCTGTTTAAACAGCTTTGGTTTTTTTCTTATGCTCCCTACAATGGGAACAGAATGACATTCCATTCCTCCCAGAACAAAAGTAAGACCAAATGGCTTGACAAACAATGAAAACGCTCCAAATCCGCCCTCTAGACGACCACAGCAAACTTGATGGACAAAGGAACGCAAATTGCATCGATGACAAACCCAAATACTTCCTAAAGTGTGCTTCCAACAGAATAGTTTGAAAGCACGGAGATAAGATAGTTGACTACTCGGTCACATGCTTCTATACTCTGTTTACTCGGTCACATGCACCTGTAATGGTCTAAAGTACTGACCATTTAGGTTTAAAATCAAACTTTCGAAACTTACCTCACCACACTTTATTGGGTTTTATCGCTTGAGACTGAAAATGCAGAAACTCAGTTATGTCTTAGGTCCCCAGGACTGGCAATAATGGGGAAAAGCACTAAACTCACCTCAGGTGCCAGTGCTACGCAAGACCCGGACAGAAGTTGATATTTTGTTAATTGGACAAAAAGAAGCATTAATGACAATGGAATTTTTTTCCTAGACACAGCAGTGGAAGTAACACTGTGCCTTGGCACTTTCATATGTCTACTTTTTGAAATGTCAGTTTCGGGCTGTTTAATGAAAACTAACTAAACGTGCTAGATATGTATGTACTCATATTGAGTGCACAAGTACAGCTAAGCTCGTGCGTGCTAAGATGCGTGTGATCCAAAAATAGCGGCACATCGGTGTAAGTCGCAAACAATTGTGTGTTGCTGACCGTCTTGACCGATTGGCCAAGAGTACATGCCTAGCATGACCTATTCTGCTCTCATCGATGGATTTAAGAGTAGTGCCAAGGCATCATTTTGGACAATGTTGAAGTTGAGCATGCAATAACAAGTTTCCACAAATAGTCTCTAGACACCATCTTACACGTCATTCACGACTGATGATGAGTCGCTGCAATCTCAAATGTTCAGGCAAATCTTGCTTGGGATTCCGTTGTGAAAGCGCCATAAGACCCTCTACCAAAACTTTGGCTGCATGCGTCCAGGAGCTTCCACTTGAGTCAGAAATGGCGGTGCGTGGACCACTAACTAATAGGAACACTAGCGGCACAATCAAAGGGTAGGAGTACTTGGATAAGGCGTTATATCAAGTGCTTTACGTTTTACATCTCCCAGACTTACAAGACGGATTCTTATTGATCAATGACAAAAGTAGATGGGTTGCGCTACCACGAACATCTATTCCTGGAGAGTGGAAGGGAAAAGGCTCAACAAGACAAGAGTCTGGCTCTCTTTCTCTTTTCACTCTGTCTCACAAGTAACATGTAGAATGAAATTTTGATGGTACTGTATTTGTTGCAGTATAAAGCTTGGTTACAAGTTAATTCTTACAGCGTTGGCAGCAATCAGGTAGCAAACAATTCTAACATATTGGCCTGTGCATATGCAGGTGTTTGGTTGGAAGCATATCCACGAAACCCTTTGAGGATAGCGCTTGAATAAAGCTGCACTTTGCTTGTTGCTTTCTATAAAATACATTGCACAGGCTAACCTCAGGTGACCCCGGATGTGAACGCAGTGTAAAAATAATTCGGAAGGAAAATAAAATGGTATGCATAATGCCCAGCTTTCGATATCCTGGAGCAATGGGCTGGAGCTTGGGCTGGAAAAATTAGGAGGTGTGATATCGGGCACGGCAGCCAATTTGCGATTCGAATTCAGCTGTAAATTTGTCCTTGTTGCGTGTCATCCTCTTGAGTATTTGCGTTCCACGCTGTTGTCCGATTTTGCTATTGGGTTTCTGGGAAGGAATAACATGTGGTTTTGATCCATGCGCTCTGTACAGGACAATCGGCCAACTCAAGCGGAGGTTCCATTGCCTTCACGCTGAGCTCCGAATGGCTCCAGAACGGTGCTGCGACATCATTGTCGCGTGCAGTGCCCTCCACAACCTGGCCAAGAGGTACCCCTGCAGGACACCCGTGGCCGCCATCCCCGCTGAGGTTCCCGTTGAGCCCGTAGCAGCCAACCGTGCTGAGAGCAACGAGGCCCGAGACTTTATTGTCAACCATTTCTTCGGCTAAGTGTAAGTGTCTGGATAGGTATCTTCTGGCTGTCCATTTCTAATGCAAGATGCTTTGTTATGATCGTGGCTATTGCTTTCGCCTTTTGTTTATCAGGCTTTGCAGATAATTATAAGAAAATTATGTCAGACAGTTGTCTAACTAGATCAAATAATTGCTTGAAATAATATTTATTGTTTTGCTACTTAAACATCAATTGTATTTTTGGAAACTGCAACAGTTAGGGGCTCAACCGTGCTGCACAGTTAGCAAGAAGCCAACAGCTTTGAGATATTGATTAATTTTATTTTAAGCTTTTTTTGTATGATCTAACTGGATGTAAGATTATCATAAGTTCTACCCAAAATAACCCATAAAGGAGTGTGACACATGTGACAATGCTGAAAGTGTGTTATCAACATGACAATGACATTCCAGCAATGCATATATCACTCTTGCACAGATCAATTCGGGTAGTGCTTGCAGATATCCCACATAGAGTTTCGAAATTTGGATGATAGAAATGTAAAGAATGATTGATGGACATCCCCTTATACCTGTTGCTTCCATAGCAGTATGTGTAAATTGCAGCATGAGCGACGAAATAAGTAATGAAAAAAAATTTTCTTACTTCCCGCATTATTGTTACAAAGCTCGAAATGTGTCATTTGAGGCACTTATAATTAGCTCGTTGGAAAGAGTGTGCTCGAAAAAAATCCCTGCCGAAGCTATTGGTCAAACGGGAGTGCAGTGCAATGTCCAACACTCCTGCAATCGCACGCTGCAGCTCAACTGCTTGTTACTGCTTTGGTCTCCTCCCCATCAACTCCTGCACTCTCGCAGAGCTACAAGCATAGGCACACACGGGCTCTCTTAAACTAATAGATTTTGAATTTGATTTCCGGAGTTCATAACAATGCACTTTTCAAACTTCTAACTAATGACACGAGGGATGCTTCTTCAAATTTGTGCACTTCTTCGCACTCTCTGGAGCTCTCTTTTTATACTGTCATTATTTTTTGTAATACATTTCCCACACCGACGGATGCTTTATGGGAAGTGCTGAAGTCAGCCCTATAACAGACTATGTGTGCACAGTTTATAATGAGGCAACTGAAGAAGACAGTTATTTTCCCATTCAATATCTACAAACCGATACTATTTAATGGGTACAGAAGCATGAATAGGAGAGTATAGTGAAACAATGTTCATTTGATACCAATTTCAAAGCTATCAGTACAAATTATATATACTACCCCATAGAATGTTCATTTTTCACTGTATACTCATGGTTACTAGCTCATAGGATTTACATAGTGTACGCTTCTGAGTGTTGAGTCATAACACCTTTCACAGGTTTTTCCAACCTGCAAAGCTTTTCTCTTATTTTTCACAAACCTCCTAGGGTTAGTTCATATTTTCTTCATCCTGGCTGGCATGATAACATCATTTGCAAAACATTTATTTTTAGTAGGGCATTGTCCAGAGAGGAGCTTTATTGTACATACTACACTCTCATTAATTCAAACTCCAGAAAGTCACATATTTTAGTTGGATATATATGATACTAGAGAACATTATGATTTGTTACTTGGATAGCGATATATACAAAGCAGATTTTGGCCAGTTTCCTCTACATAGCACAGTAGCTTGCTTATAGTTAATGCATAACTATAAGCAAGTACAGGCATAACACATTTGTGAAAGAACCGTGACTAAGTTTATTCATCCGGCAAAAAAGTCGTCAATTGTGGACTGTTTAGTCAGCACATGAGATCTCAAAACAAAATTTTCAATGCCAGCCAACGCAAGTAGCTCTTTACGGGACTTTTCCTTTGCAGACAGAAACTTCCGGAGCTGAGCGATGTGCTCAAAGGCCTCTGCGGCTGTGACAGTTCGTAGTGGGCCATCCATTTCTTCATCGTCATCTTCACTCTCACTGCTGCACTGTGCTGGCATTACTTTCCGTATTATGTCCTCTAATGAGTCATCATGACAAACACACACATCGTCGTCAAGACTAATATAGTTCGCCTGCACGGCGTTCACATTACGTGTTTCAAGGCCAGAAATCATGATGCCAGTGAGCTGTGCCTCGTCCTCGTTGTCGTCTTGCTCATCATTGCTAGTCTTGAAGCACATAATTTGAACGCCGTTTTCCGTTCATGTGTGCCGTTTTCGCTAATTCATAGTTTTTTGTTCTCGCGGCCCCGTTGACTGCGCTTCTTTCCGAGCACTGGTGCACTGCGGAGAAGCAACACTCGCAAAAGCAAGCTCCGCAGGTATTGCTTCTCTGCGGTGCACCGGTGCTCGGAAAGAAGCGCACTCAACAGGGCCGCGAGAGCAAAAAACTATGAATTAAGCGAAAACGCCATTCGAATTAAGTGGCTTATAAATACATAAAAAAGCTTAGCGGGACAACCAAAATTTTTAAACCTGTTTGAATTAACTGGAAGTACGAAATATCCGAGTTCGAATTATCGCGAGCCTACGTACAAGCAGCAAGTAGATTTCAGCTCCAAAAAACTGTTGTGTTGGATAACAGTGTATTTTTTTCTCGGTTGTATATCTATTCTGTGCGGACAAGTGATCACTTTGTGTTTTTATGTATGTGTGTTATTTCCCACCCCTCCTACAATAATGCCCTCGAGGCGATGAAGGTACTCTTTAAATAAAATAAATAAATAAATAAATAAATAAATACTTAAAGAACAAGGTAAGTGGTGACGATTCAAAGTAATAAGAGTTGAAGACCCGGGGCCCCAAAAGGTGACACACGCAACAAAATGATGTAGTGTTGTGTTTGATCCCTTTTTCTGTTCCTGAGTTTCGGGATATTCTTAGTATGAACTTTTTCGTACATAAGCAGCACACAGTCCATAGGTCGCAGGAGCATATCCAGGCAGAAAAAACCTTTATCTTAAAAGCAGAAGGAATATTTGCAGATGCAAGTCAGAAAGTGTCTGTGGTCCACTCATCGATTACTCGAACATTTTCTTAAAACACAGAAACTCGACCTTGGTCTTCTGCCGGGAGGCTAATCGTCTTGGCGACCTCCTCTCTTGAGCTGTGACGGGGAGCCGCGTTATGAAAGGGAAACATGTGAAGGGATATAGGAAAGAAGGAATTATACATCTGCCTTTGAGCTTAACCCATATTTTTATTTTAGGTATCCATGTAAATTATGTGCCACCTTTGGGGCGTCGAAAGCCTGGGTGCCATACTGCCAGTATGATATTCTGTTGCTTACTTAACCACAGCGTAAAATATTGCGATCAGAACAACCACGCTGGTCTAGTGTAGGGATAGTCAACGACATGGAAAAGATTGTGTGCAAGCTTCCCTTGTAGATAGCATGCATAAAATAAATGAAGTGTCAAACATACCATGTTTGCACGATTCTAACGTGGCCCCGATACTTACATGCAGGCAATTTTAGCTCCCAGATATCGAAAAATTTAATTGCTGCCGATTCTACCGCGCAGGTAAAGTAATGCACTTTGAACACCCATAAGTGCAGCTCTTAGGCGCTCGTTTCCGGCTTGAGCGGCGTCGCCGTCGCCGCCGTCGTAACCGCCGGTGCATGATGGGTAAATTTCTCTGCTAAATCTAGCGGAAAAATTTCTCCGCTAAATCTAGTGAAAAAATTTCCCCGCTAAATCTAGCGGAAAAAATTCCCCGCTAAATCTAGCGGAAAAATTTGTCCGCTAAACCTAGCGGAAAAATTTCTCTGCGGGGTCATGTGACCTGGGGGTCACGTGACCCCCCCCCGCCGAGGTCACGTGACCCCCCTCCCCCTCAGTACCCTTCCCTACTCCTCCTCAAGAGCTGCGCTCTAATTCGGCGTTACAGAGTTGTAAACGGCCTTCACTTTTTTTTTTTCATACAACACTTCGCGAGCTCATTGGGTCGCTGGGATTGCGAGGCTACGCAGTGTCGCTCCGTGGTTATCGTTTCCCGTCAGTGTGATGACATAAAGGCGAAAGAACGCGCGATACGGATACCAAAATATCTAATGTAAACAAACGGTCACAAAGGCGATTGGGCTAGCTGCCTTGCGTTTTTCTTTTGAGTTTTGGTTTCAATTGTAAGTGCATCTAATTTTAGGCACCCATTTTGGCAAAAAAAATGTGAGCGTTATAATCGTGCAACCAAGTATGTAGGTCAGAAAAAACGCAAAATATGTATACAACACAGCGACAAACAATGCAAGTAGCTCATTACATGAGTTAATCTTGTCCTAATTGTCTTTTTATCAGTTCAATTTGCAGCTGTGCTCGGGTGGTTTCAAGTCTAATGAGTTCTCTTTGCTCCCTGAGCACTTCCTCCCCTATAGCATAGAAACTCCGTGCAGCATCTGCTGCAGCGAGGGTTGCGTTTGCAGCCTGTATGGCCCCATTTGTGTACTTTCTCTCAAGGAGTATATTCTCATGCTCCAGATCCTGCTGTCGCTCGGCCCTTCTCTGGTACTGCTGTGCAGCCTCACGGGTCCAGCGCTGGTTGTGCTGCACAACAGGAGAGGCCAGTGTTCTCTGTGCTGCGTCGTCTTCAACTGTACTGCTGCCAGATGACGAGGGTGGCGGCGTCGTCACCCTTCCCGTGCAGCTGCTGTAGTGACACGCATGACCAGGAAATTGTTTGAGGTTAAAGGGATACTACAACAAAATTTCGGGTTTCATTTTTTGGTCTATATGTGTTCGAAGGAGCAGTATCACATCGAACACAACAATATCTTGTTAAAAAAGTCACGAAAAGGAATTTTAAAACGAATTAAGCGATTGGCAAAGAGCACCAGGTGGATGTCGCTAACGCCTCGTTTGTAATGCCAGTCTAAGAACCTTGACAGCTAGTGACGGTAACTGTCTCGCCTCCGGCTACCACTATAGAAGAGGGGAAGGAGGAACTCTCCTCTTCCAAAGAATCCTTTTTGTATGTCCCAGAAGTTGCTATTGTCCCCCTACAAGATTATAAAAGATTAACCCTTCACTCAAAATTCGTACAAAAGCAGCCGCTTTGGTGGCTGGAACGACTAGGCCATCCTCTCGACGTCAGCCTCGTCGCAGCTTTGCTCGTCCCGAGACGAACTACGTCACGATTGCGTTGGGTGTCACATGCTCTCCGCTGGCTGTTCTCCGAGCGCTTGTCAGGGTGGGCCGTTTGTAACGAAAACTATAGCCACCAGGTTCAAAATACAAACGTGCGATTGTCATTTAGGGATACAGTGGATCATATTCAACCTATTTTTGAACACGACGGGTATATTTTTAATTTCGTTGAGGTATCCCTTTAACGCATAAGCCTTTACAACGATTATCAGCAAACTTAAAAACCCAGGTCACTGACTGGCTGTGGATGGCAGCCCGAGGTACAATATTGTCCTGCATAAAGTTAATGCTCGGGACGTGTTCCGAGCATGCGCAGTGAGAAAAATGGCAGCTCACAGAGGGCTATTGTTGGGCAGGAGTGAACTTGTAAATTTCAGCATAACTTAGCAAACTGCAAGGGCTACAGCTCCAGAGAGCTGCTCAGAGCATTGAAGCAAAGGATTGTGACTAGACACCATACTCGTGCACGTACGTCCTCCGTGACATGATTCTCTCCGTCCTCTATCTCTCCAAGTGATGCATGAGGGCTGCAGTGCATGACATTTTTGACGTCACCCTGGATCAGGGTACATATATGTGTGGGAGAACTGAGTGCAACGTGCGGCAACCTTAATCCAGATGTGACAGTAACACTTGTCATAATTTTACCACATATGTTGGTGGTACAACAGACTGGAGTGCCTAACCCCGCAACTTTGTTTCATTGGCGGTTGGTAGAGTCGCCACATAGACATTTGTACAAGATTTAAAACAAGTAGATGTGGCACACTCACACCAGCCGTCATATGTGATTATTGTGTACCCAAGCACTGTCCGGCTAACTGGGACATTGATACTTTTTCAGATTTTGTTGGCACAGATCAGCATCGAATAAGTCATTGGTGCATTCTCAACTTAATCTCATAAGCGTTACCAAAAAAGAATGGATTTTTGCTACGTTAGCAGGCATGTACGAAGATCATGCAAAAACATTTCCACTGACAGTGGAAAAATTTGGGTATTGAGTGACCTGACTTTGAAGAAAATAGGTGATCTCAACTTGAGAGAAAGACTACCATAGCTTTGTTGATTATGATGTAAATATTTCTTTGTAATTTTGTGGTACAAATAGTTTCAAACTGTGAGTTTTACTGCATTTACCCTAATAAATGGTTTCATTGGCACTTTTTCAGCAGTGCAGAAATGGCTAAATATGTGAAGGTGGTGTCCTTGTGCTGTGTTCTGTTCTCTACTGGACAGGTTTTGACTCGTGCTCCTAATATTGTCGTTTTGCTTCATGAAGTTGGTCTCTATGTAAGGGCACGCAGCAGTAGTGTTATGCAACTGACATGTCTACTTTGAGATGGAAAACCAATATATTCTTTTATGACAATCCAAACTGTTCCCTATGCTCATCAATGTTTTCTAGGAGCATGCCAACAATTGGTGACTTTTGATATGCCTTGTGTCTGTGCTCAGTTTCATACCTATCATCAGTGACAGCAGAACATCCCTATCATCAGTTTCATAACTATCATCTTGTGGAAGTACTCATAATGTGACGAGCAGAACAGAAAAAGAATGCACCTTCAGCGCGTGCTCATTCTCTTCTGCTGCTTGTGCATCCTTGTGCTGTCAGGGCTAGTAAGCTGTAACTGGGTGCAGAGCTTCCACTGTACTATCGCCTCCATTGTCACAGTCTACATACAGTGTGCAACGATATCAAACTTGTAGGCGTAAGGGTGGGCCATTCAATTAGCACAAGTAAGGTGATTGACGAAGCCACGTGCTCATACCTACAACTTTAGTATTGTAATGTATAAAGTATCAACAGGAGCATAGCATACACAGCATGGCCTATAAAGTGTTACCTACTTTTCGGTGTCACCGATGATGACGTCAATCCCACAGATCATCGGGGAATCGTCCCCGATCACATTTAAAACAGTCTCGACAAGTGGTGTCAGCTGATGGGGGTTGGGACCAGCACCTATGAATTGAAGTACACTTATTTTGTTTTCTAGGATGTAAGCACAATTAAAGGTGGGGGAGGGGAGACAGGGTGTTCATTATTCAACATAGTATCAATGTGCGAATGAACAGAAAACGCGTAAACATGTAATTGCCAATAATGATAAGATTGTTTTCTTACCTTCGTTTTTTTTTTCACCCTCAGGTTCCTATTATCCGGTCTCGGGTAATATGTGATGTTGGGCAATTTATTTCTTTTTTTTTTTTGTTTGACAGCAAACTCACTGTTGCCAGCTACCGGCTAGCCTGGCCCACTCTGCGCCTGAATCGGTTGCGTCGGAAGTGTTTGAAACGTGGAGGGGCGACGGGGCCTCTGAGCTTAACCCCGCCCCCTTTTGCAGCATTGTTTACCGCAGCTGTCTGAAATTTCAAGGGGGGGGGGGGGGGGGGGGGGGGGGGAAGGGGAAGGGGGTCTGAAGCCCCCCTGCCCTTGTTCCCACGCTACTTGCCTACATACATTTTTCTTCTGTGTTTAGTTGAACAATAGTGTCTACATTGTTTACAGTGCTAAAGACAATGTTTTTGGCAAGCAAAATTTGGACATTAATTTTGAGAAATTACGCAGGCCCACTGCATGGAACAGGATCCAAGGTGCTTTGGGGCTATTTCTGTGTTAGTGCCACTGTGTTGAAACTTGTGCGAGTAAGAGCTAATTAATCTTTGGGCTTGCCCTCTCATGATATTGAGCGAGATGTTAGTTGTCGCGCATTGAATGGGGTCTTCGGTTGAGATATTTGCCCCAAAAATTTGAGGGGCTAATATATCACTCTCTAATAAATTTGTACAGTGCACCCAAAGTTTCCAATAAAGATTTTACAAATATCGCCCTTTTTTCTGTTTTTGTAGCGCAAATATTGGAACTTACCTGTCCGTTGGTCATGTTCTTTGTACAATCTGTACAAAGTTCGGCACTTTTTAAGTAATTTTCTCCATGCTTCTTGAAGCTGTTTCACTGAACGCGGAACTTGGTGGCGGCGGGTCATGGAATTGGCGACTTGGTCCCAGGCGCGTCTTTTGGTTTTAGTAGTCACGGTAGGGCCGAATTTTCCCAGGATTTGGTATTTTCGAGCCTCAACTTCCCGGACTAATTCCAATTTTTCATCTAGGGTCCAATTCTTTTGACGCAGCGGCGCGGTCCCCTTTGAGGTAGTCGCTCGGTTCATTTTCGTTTGCAGAAGGAGCATGATCGTCTGCTACCTTGGTTTGTTTATCTACACAATTGCAACATTATTCCTGCTAACCGTAAAATATTTTTTCAGAAGCAACGCGAAATAACAAACAAGTGCATTTCCAACAACTTCAGTATTGTTTATTTCTCGGTTCTACAACTTTCGCAGACGGCACAACGGAGTTGATTCGGAAAAACTGCATGTACCGGCTTTCTTGGAGGGCGAGTGAATTGAACGATCGGCAGGTCACTGGTCTTTTATGGACAACGTAGCATTTCACTAAACCCAGAGAAAGTTCTGCTACTCATCACTGCTAAAATCCATTGGACCGTTGAGCCTCTGTCCGCCGTTTATCTGCAGAACGGTTGATGCTGCAGCTGCAGTCGCACTGTAAGCAGAATACGAGGATTTTGTACAAAATGGACACCCTGAACAGAAATTTTCCCGGCGTGACTACTTTCAATAAACCGCAATCGCTACTCAAAAGGCAACTCTCCGTAATGCTTCCTTTCAATAAACGTATTCTGATCCTGCTCCTGCTTGAAGTTAGTTTCACAGCGCTCAACATAACGTGAGTATGAGGCTGGCCTCATCACAACCCTATCGCGAAATGTTTTGGTGCTCACCGTAAAACGCTTGTCGTACTCGGCTATCGTGTTCCTTGGAACGCATCCCACATTTCGGCGCTGCGATGCATGATTCTTGCCGTGCTTCAATGAAGCCGATGCGAAGCTTCGACAGTCGGCGACTCCGGGCCACTGTACTTCTACAAATCGGTGACTCTGAGCCACTGTTTGTCGACGGGCTGCTGCCGTCGACTTCAGTCGCAGTCCCCTCGAAATGTCAGTTTCTTTAAGGCGCACGTAGGATACTTGTACACTCTTAACTTAGAACACGGAACCTAAATCATCGCTCTGAAGACAAACACCAATGCGATCCCGACCGCGGAAACTGCGTACGCCGCAGCCATTTTGTCGAACGACGCGACGGGGCAATGCGTAGCTCCCCGTATCCCTACCGAGCCAGTCACGTGACTAAAAAATCCCTCTCCTAGGTACTGCGGCTAACTTTAGCCGCGGTTAGCTGTTCGAGCAAACGGGCCCTGGTAGCTACGACTCGGATGATTGGAGTGCTCGAATATACCATAAGCGAAGAACCATCCCACTGAGCAGCCTATTTAAAAAAAAAAAAAAGAATTCAATGTTGGCCCGCCCTGTTCCCGTGCGCTAGCTACCAGCGAAGTCAAAGCTAGCGCGAGCCCAATGTTCTGCATTCCTGACTCGCGCGTGGGCTCGTGCAGTGTGGGCACCGCTAGGGGCTCCATGCGGGCGCTTGTAGCTCCGGCTGCGCTCGCACCGAAGCTGAAACGAAGTGTAGTTGAGTTGCACCGAACTCTGGATGTAGTGCTGGTAAAGCCTCACCGTCCTTTT